CATGTGCTGAGTGCCCCACAGCCGAGCCTGAGTTGTGGGCTCAGCTCAACAAATGTCACTCGGGCCAAAATGGAAACTGGGCTGCCGGGCCACCAGGCTGCCACACAATGAAATTTGAAATTTCAGCAATACCAACAGAACTAGAATCAGCAGCACTAGCACGAGAAACACCAACAACAATGTCCACATCGACAAATGTAATTGACATTTCTTTAAGCGTTCATATGTTCACATCTTGAAAATATCCAAAAACCAGAGACAAGAACAAGAACTTCTGGTTTATTCCTCGTTTTGCGGGCGAACAGCAGCATGTTGCCGTCTGAGTGAGTGTCGGTTCTCTTCCAAGTACGTGTCTGCAGCGGAAGTGTTGGAGTCATCGTCCAGAGCGAACATTGATAGCCATTCTCTGGTCAGTTGATGAACATGGACATGGGACAAGGAGCTAAGCCAATGTCACCTAATCTGCAGCAACATTGTGAGTAGTGAAATTTCACCATTTTCAAATACTTAACGAATTTTGAGGGCTGCCACTGGCTATTATAGGATAATAGCCAGTGTAAGAGTACCCTGCACAGCATACCCTAATAAAATCATAAAAAGAAGGCAAAGATGAGAGGCGGAAGAAATGCGAGCCCCAAGCAAATCGAAAAAGTTTACGCTTAGGCCTTATCCACACATTAAAAACTTGGCAGCTTGTTAAGTTCCCGGGCAAGACTAGATGTAGTTTCAACAATGGGATGGGGGAACCTTCTTCCAAATTAAATCCACAAACTGTAGACAAAATGCAATAAAATAAATTGCAGAAATATCCGCAGAAACCGAAGCGAAGAACAAGCCTTAACAAAATAAAAGTTCCTTATAAATGATGTAGCAAAGGTGCTGCCCTTTTTTTCGGTGGGTTGTTTTTGGAATGAATGTAATATAAATTTCTCAAGGAGCTGCAGGCTACGAGTAGACCCAGCCGAATGAAAGGTGACAGCCTGAAGAGAGGAAGAGAGAGAGAGAGAGGGCGCAATGAGTATGGCTAAACAATAGTTCAGGAAAAATAAGTTAAGAACGAGTGAGAAAAACTTAAGTGCCCGTTAAATTTCCCAACGGACTAATGATAAAAGTTACGCGACTACAGCTGCCTGCCTTCACGCCTCCCCGGGGCTACCTTTCTGCACTGAACTTCGGTTGGAATACTTTCCGCTCCGGAATCCTTCCCGGACACGTTGCACCATACTTCTCCTGGCTTGTCGGATTTGTTTGCTCTTTAACCCTTTCCATTTGCCGCTTGTTCATTGTTTTTTCGCCTTCTTTATTTTTATTTTTATTTTTTGTTGTTGTTCTTTCTGGCCAGGAGTAGCGGTAAATACATTGCGGCATTCAAGTTAATTTACCACAAGAAAGGAGCCAGAAGGAGTGCAAAAGGAGTAAGAGAACATGGCCAAAAGGGAAAAGGCACCAGGAACAGGAGCAGAGCCTGGAGCCAGAGCCACGGGAAAGAAAAACTGAGAAGGAAAAAAATGCAATGAAAATTATGTTGAACCAGGCCAGGGGATCGTAATTAGTTTACTGGCATTTAACTTGCTACATTAGTTGCAATTACGGAGTAAATATTGTGCATTTAATATGTAATTCATTTGAATTTTATTAACTGTTTGAGGCTATCTCTTTATGTGTACACTTCTGGAGAGGAGAGCTCTTGTGAGACTCCAATGGAGGAATCGGTTAGGTATTTACTAAGGTTTTATATTTAAGCTTCTTTTCTTGTCAGACTTTGTTACAGGTATTTCTCCTATCTGTAAGATGTTTCAATTGATTTTCTAAGAATATCCAAGCATTCTCAACTAATTTAACACTTAATTCTGATGTGCTCTTAACAATTCTCAACCTATTCAGCAACTAATACTTCATCCCTTTGCGTTTTCAGCTTGATTATATAAGTGTCCTCTATACACTCTCGACACTACAAAAATCTCCTCAATTCATTGAAATATTTCAAGTAGTTTTTCCATTTTAATTGATGCAAATTGCTGTTGAACTTTCCGCTTAAATATTTTACTTTTTTTATGTCTCAGTGTTTGCCCAGGCTCATGGTGTTGATTGTGCCTTTTTGATTTTTGTTTGTTATGTGCTTTGCATAATTTAACACTCTGCCTTAAAAACAATCAAATTGTCAAGTGTCAAAAGGTTCGTGCCTGAGCAGAGCAGAGCAGAGCCATGCTCATAGTCTGGGATTTTCCCCTGCGTGTTTGTTGGAAATGTGTATAAAAATGCATTAAATATGTAGTTGTAATTTGCACACTTACACACTTAAAGTGTTGGGTAGGGATTCCCACCCTTAAGTGGATGCTTGTGTGCAATATTTTGCATTTGGCTGCCAGTTTTTCCGGTTTACTCCGACCGCAAAAGTGTTGGCCATTAACCGTAGAGCAGACTGCTCCCTGACCTGGCTGACCCACTGACAGTCAGATAGGCAGACTGACAGGCAGGAAGCAGGAAAGCAGGCAGCTGGCAGGCAGAAAGAGACTGAGATAGACGTGGGCTGACGCGTGTTAATTTGAATAAATTATTAAAGCACGTGATGAGCGCGACCTTTCAACCAATTGGGGCAGCCACTGCCACAACGGCACACCCACGCATAACCGAAAGAGCTCCCAACTCGATCCCCCCATGCCAAGTGCAATTAAGCACGAAAAAACCAATCAAACTGGAAATAAATTGCGCCATAGTTGCAACAGCCGCAGCATGGAAGCTCGCCGAGAGACCAGGGTTGCCATACGGCGCACATTTTTTCTGCCGAGCCAGCAAAATGCCTCCCCCAAGGTATATTTAACAGAAGGTAAGGTAGGAGTCTATCTCTCGCTGTCTTTGTGTGTCTTGGAGCCTCGGCACATGCATAGGTCTACACTCGCAGAATTCCAGAAAAACTGTTGGATTCGTCGGCATTTTCCACTGTTTAATATATCTTGGGCTCTATGGTGGATGTGGGCTTTTTTTTTTGGCGCTCGGAGGGGGTTTCCCTTTTTATTGTGGCCGCTGGGCGAAAATTGTTTGCATTGCATTCTCTGCTGATGCATGCGAATCGAGAAATATTTGCAATTTAGCAAAATACACCCGGAAGCGGTTCCGGATTGAAGCTTGAGCTGACGATTGCCATAACGATTGCGATTCGGGTTCCTATTTGTATTTGGTCTTTGCATTTCGCATTCGGGCTCCGCTTTCAATCGCCATCGGAGTGCGTGCAAAATGATGGCAATTAATGTGTTGCTCTTCTTGTTTTCTGTTTTTTTTGTTGGTTTTTTTTTTACCTGGAAAACACTGTGGAAAATGTGATGTCAATAATTTGGAAAAATTGCGCAAATATTTTTGCTTGCAAAAGAAACGCAATGTTTTTTGAACTGAGCAAACATTAAATAAAGTTAAGAGAGGTCAAGAATTGAACGACAAAATGGTAGGAATCAGAAAGGAAAAGTGAAATATTTATAGTAAAATTCAATAATAGAGAAGTGGACAGTATAGTTGATAAAAAAAACATATATAAATGAGAAAACGAACTATTTAGTTGGCCCAAACCACCCGCTGGGCATAAGGGATATGATGTTAAATCTGATCTGTGCCTTCAGAGCGTCTTTACACAATGCAAGACTTCCCCCATATAATATAAAGCATTCAAAATGTATAGAACGAGTAGAGTGGAAGAACCCTTATTCACTCTGCCTGGCCGGGATCAATTGTTGAGTGCAGTGATGCAGGAAGGGATGGAATAAAGTATAAATACAATTTGTATGCTTGATGTAATTTCATTTCCACTTATCTTGGTATTTTCTCTGCATTTTCCTTCATGCGATTGATTTATCGCACAGAAAATAATAGGCAGCCAATGTCTGTGCATCCTGTCTAAGGACTCCAACCATATCTATACATCTTTTCTATCCTCTGAGCCTCTGCTTCAGTGGGGTTCAGTTTATATTCAAATGCTTACGCTTAAATGTCAATAATACGTGAAATTGAACTGCCAATTCAATCTCCACAACTACTTCGTTCACTCCTTGCTTCGAAATCATTTCCATATAAGCGTTTTCCCATCTCTCCTTTATTTATATACATACTCGTATATTCCTCTTTTTGTTGAGCAAATTCTTTCTGTTCATATGTGGAAAAAACTATTTGCAAAAGTCTCAAGTGTGTTTGGGGTGGCGTTTGGGATTTTTAAACGACGGGCTGCAAATTGTACGCAGATCACATTACACTTGCTCCAGCGGACTGCATGTGCATGTGAATCTGCACCTCCAACTCCGAATCCAACTCCTAGGAATCGCTTCACATTTGGCTGCACATAGCGCTCTCCCAGTTCTTCTATTCATTCGAAAAATTGAAAGATTTATTTCTTAGTTCTTTGCGATTACATTTCCACCGAGCTAATGTGTTCAGATCCAACGGCTACGTCGTGTCGTGGCAGTTTGTCAACTGTCATTGCATCAGACATTGAATGGCAGACTGGTGGAGGAGAAAGAGGACGAGTCCCAGATACTAGTATCATTTCGTTGACAACTACATTGCAAATACGGCAAAGTAATCAGTATTGTGTAAATAACAAAGTTATGTGTCTGGCTCTGACAAAGCGGGTGGTAAACGGTATGCAATCAAGCGAGGATAAACCTCTGAAAGGGTGCAAGGAACGTATAGATCCTATGAAAGAACCAGTCGAAAAGAATGCGATTGGGAAAGTCATTGATATTCAATAAAGTGATGCAAGAATTTAAATTAAATGGAATGTAAATATTTTCCAACACACATTTTGTTGCCCATCCAAAAGCCTTTTTCTGGTTTACCGGAAATAATTCGATAATGTTGCCAAAGGTCAGCTGTTAAGCATCTTAAATTCAAAATGAAATAGAAACAATTCCAACGTTTCGTTTAGTTGACTTTTCAATGGGCAGTTGTCAGACTTCTGGACGAAAGCAAACCATCGAAAAGAGGCGAAAATACCTAAGAAAAATTGGCTATCGGACCAGTTCATCGCGGGTCTTGTCAACGAGTGGTCGGTTGAAGTGAAGAAAAGAATACAAAAATCCATTTGGTAAAGAAAAACTAGTTTGCAACTCACCTAAAATAGGTTTCAAGCTAAGGAAAATCTTCATTATCTAAATGTCTCCAGTTCTAGCAGTTTTTTAAGTGAAAATCCCAGATCGAAAAGACTTTGATTTCTGGAAATTTATTCAAAAAACTCATTTTGTCATCTCAGCAACCTCAAAGTGCGTCGAGAAACCCTTCAAAAAATATTCAAAAATGTATGCAAATTATTTCCACACCAAAACCGCTTGAAAGCAGACCCGTCTGCGTGGCGCCAGGGGAGCACACACAAAATCAATTAAATTGATCGATTGCTTGGAAAAGGGGTAGAAAAGAGACTCAACTAAGAACGACGAAATCTTTATTGAGCTTTCACATTTCGCCAAGTTTTATTTTACGTTTACCTTGATTGCCTTCACACGTCGTTTTGCTTGCACAGGGAAACCCCTTTGTTTTTCCAAGACAATGACCCAATTCAAGGCCAGGCTTCTCAAAGGCTTCCTTCCCTTCTATGTCTCACTTCTCTCTGCTCTTTTCTTTCAGTTGGCTGCTGACCATGAAATGGAAAGTCTTCTGCTAGCACTGACACTGAGTACAGGACAAGAGGAAAGCTAAGGGTGCAAGTGCCACAAAAGAATTCCGTTTGGACATTGAGTGGAAGACTCTAGAGGGATCCAAAGAAAACTTCAGACATGGAACAAGGGGGAACTGTTGAGCCAGTGTTGGCAGCTGCTGTGCCTTCAGAGGCAGCGCCTGTGGCACCCAAACCTGTTGCTGCCACCGTGCCGCCAGTTACAGCTCCTGTTCCCGTTGTTACTGCAGCCCCTGTTGTTGCTGCTCCGACCGTCACTTTGCCGCCAGTTGCAGTCCCCACACTTGCTGCAGCACCATCAGTTGCCACTCCGGCAGCAGTTGCTGCTCCTATAACCCAAGCTGCTGCTCCGACTCCAGCGGCATCAATTCCTTCACCGATACCGATTGCTGCCGCTCCTATTATCCCAGTTTCTGCCCCGACTCCAACTGTTGCTACCGGTACTGTTGCACCTGCAGCTGCTGCTACAGTTGTGGCTCCAGCTCTTGCTGCTGCTGCTGCTGATCCGAGCCCAGCTCCTGCTGCCATTTCGCCACCAGATGCTTCCTCAGTGACTCCTGCACCAGCTCCTGCCCCAGTCACGCCAGCTGCTGAGCCGCAAGCTGTTGTCCAACCTATTGCTGCGGCGGTTCCCGCCACTGTTGCTCCCGTACCTGCTCCAGCGGCATTCATTCCAACAGCCGTGCCGGTGCAAGAACCAGCTGTTGGTGCTACTACTGTTGGTACTTCCACTACCGCTGCTCCTGTCCAGACTGCACCAGCGACTCCGGAACCTGTCGCTGCTTCTCTTCAGATAGCTCCACCAATTCCAGTACCAGTGGCTGCCGTAATAGAAACGCCTGTGGCTACTCCTACTGTCCACGCTGCGGTGGCTACTGCAAAACCTGCTTCTGTTGCTGCTGCAGAAACACCATCGGCTTTCCAGGAACCAGCCGTAGCCGCCGTGCCAACTTCTGTCCAGATTACGGAGTCTGTTCCAGCCACTGCAGAATTACCAGTGCCAGTCCCGGAGGTAGCTGTAGCCGCCGTAGAAACTACAGAGCTCCCAGCTGTGTGCGAGACAATTGGATCGGAACCCGTTATTGCAGCCGTCGAAGCTCCCGAAGCAATACCAGCTCCGGTTGTTGCTGGCGTCGCAGAAACTGCTATCCCTTCTGCTACCGTCGAAGCTCCAATTATTACGGCTGCGACTCCCTCGGTAGTGCAGGCAATGGCTTCAGAGCCAATTCTTGCTGCCGTCATAGAAACTCCAGCAATTCCAGCCGCTGAACCTGCAGCGTTGATCGTGGAACAGGCTGCTGCTGTTGCAGATATACCCATTCCCTCGTCCGTTCCGGAGCCTGTTATAGCCGTCGTAGAAGCTCCAGCTCCTGCCCCCATTCCACCCGAACCAATCATCGAACCAACTCCACTTCCTACTGACGAAACATTAGAAGTTATTTTGCAACCAGCTGCAGTGGTGCCCGTGTCCATTCCGGAGTCAGTTATTGCAACCGGAGAAGTTCCCAAGTCGGTTCCGGTCGAACCGGTTATTGTTACCGAAACATCTACCGTACCTGCAGAGGTTCCAGTCGCTCCAGTCGTGATGGAAACGCCAGAAGTTTGTCCAAGCCAAGCTGCATCCGCGGAGGCAGTTGTTGCTCCTGAAGCGGTGTCAACTCCATCTCCCGAATATATTGTCCAAATTCCCACACCCACTCCAGAAACAGTTCTGGCTGCTACTCCAGCTGCTCCAGTAACAGTCGAAGTTCCACCTGTGGTACCGGAACCAGCTCCAGTGTCAACTGTAGATCCAGTAACTTCTGCACCTGTTTCCATTCCTCAACCGGTAAGTCCTGAGGCGCCAGTGACTGCAGCTGTTATAGAATCGCCAGTAGCTGTAGATGTTATAGAAGCACCAGTCACTGCAGCTGTTACAGAAACGCCAGAGGTCATTGCTAGTTCAGAGATTCCACAAGCTGCCGAGGAGCCAAAAACTCTAACACCGCAACCAGCAGCTGCAGAAACTGCTGCTGTGGCCACTATTGAAGTTCCAGATGCAGCTACAGAGATTGCTGCCGATGTAGAAGCTCCGGCAAACATATCGGAACCATCTACTGAAACCATTGTTCCTGGTGCCGAAATTATAGCTACCGAACAACCATTAGTTGCTGGTGTAGAAACTTCCTTACCGGAGGTACTGGATGCAGTAGCTTCTCGTGATGCCGAAGTACTGACTCCAGAACCAAGTGCTGCTTCTTCTACCCCAGAGACACAACCACCTACCATTATTGAAACCCCAGAAGCTATTGAAGTGGCTGCCAAACCTACCCCGGAACCTGCTGCTGAGATCTCCGAAACTGTTGCACCAGAAGTTTCCGTAACTAGCTCCCCTCCAGATGCTGCCGATGCCGCTGCAAAAGAACCAATCGATTCTCCATCCACTGATCTCAGCTCCGTCCCAGTAGCCAAGATAACGCCCTTACTGAGGGATCTACAAACGACAGATGTGTCGCTGTTGGCCATTGCGGCTACCCTAGATGCCATTGGGGAGAAGCTGAAGGACCAAAAGGCTCGCAATCAGCAAGTCATGGACAGACTCTGCGAAATCGAAAAAATACTAGGTCCTCCAAAACAAAACTAACTAAAGCAACTAACTAACTGTTACTAGGATCGAGTGAATTATAATAAAGTTGAAAATTATATAAATTCGATTTCCGATTATTTTGTGCAACCGAAATGAACATCCTTCACTCGCTTTAATTTCACTCTCAACCACTCAAGAAATGAACACCAAAAAGCTCATAAATCAGAGCTGCTCAAGTTGTGTTTTGCATTCATTATTCTTGGTAATATTCATGAAACCAAAACAAATCGACCATTTGCAGTTTTGGGACACATTTACGAGGTGTGGCCTCGCCCACGCAGTGGGGAAGGCAATTTGCTATCAAGGCACAATTTTCTACTCCAGAAATTAGCATTTAAGAGGAAGGCAAATGAAAGAAGAATCGCCTTGACGACCCAACCAAATGTACTCACAGGAGGTACAAGTGAATGAATTATATTCCAAATTTACTTCCCCTGTCAGCACGAAAAAACAATAAATTTGTATTAACGATTGTGATGCTTCCCACCTTAAGCACCAGAACTTTTCAGCAACTGGTAATTGATAATTTCTCAATGAATAAATTAAATTAGGTCACGACGACTCGGAAATTCGAAGAAGAAACCTCGTGTCCAACTGGACTTCGAGCCGAAATGAGAGCATAAAATTCACTTTGGGGCCAATAGTCAATCGAGAGTAATAAAACTGTTTTAATGCTGAAAATTGGAAACTTTTATGGCGGCAAATAGAAAATTTGTCTTTATGGGAGGGAGAAAGCTGGCTAAGGCTCAAACACCTATCTCGATTATTCTAATCATTTGCATTATTTTCGTCCCATCTCTGGAACTATCCATTCCTTTTTGCCTTTTCCAGACCAGACCCCAGACCCTAGATGCACCCCACAGTAGCATGTTCGACAGTTCAATCTAAGTCTATAGGCCACTCACACAAAAACACGAAAAGGCAAAAGCTGGATGCCAAAAACCAAATTCCCATTTGACCATTTTGTCTGGAAACAATAAAATGACGTCTCCCACGCATACATTCGAAGTCGCACTCTCATCCGGATACGGGCACACATGGACGGAGAACAAATATACGGAATCCCATAAATGTTGCAAATGGAGCAACAGAGTGGAGTTGTCATGCAGAGCAGGAATGCCTTCCTCCAGCCATGTTGCTGTCTGGAACAACAACTACACAAGGATTTTCCTTTTTTAGACTTTTTGGCATTTTACATGAGCCAGAAAAGGAGAAGGAGAATGAGAATGAGAGCAGAGCTACCCCAGTGTCTCTTGTGACTCGGATGAAGGTTACACAATCTAACCACATTAATGCCAGGACAGTATGAGTATGAGCAGAAGTCTGCACGGGTCTTGGTCTGGGTCCGGGTCCAGTTCCGAGTTTGTATCCAAATGTGTAATTGTTGCCTAGAGGATTTGCAAAAAGATTTTCACTGTCATTTGAATTGTATTTAAGGCTTCATTTACTGAACTCCCACTCACAGTGTTTACTGCCATAAATGCCTGCTATCAAGTCTGTTTAAATTGAAATTGAAATTGTCTCTGTATGGTAGGAGTAGCTGGGCGTGATATGATGGTTACTCGGGGATAGTCGCACAATTAAGGAGCATGAGGGTACTGCTGATGATGATGCTGATGGTGATGATGATGCTGATGGATGCAGCGTTCGTTGAGCTCTGTCAGCCACAGGAACATTCATTCAACATTTACTTGCCGAGCTGCTCCAGAGTGCCAAATCAATCAGTCTGCAATGCATAAATGACACGGGCAGGTCCGACCAACCTCCACTCTGGGTTGTGCAACTCTTGTCTAGCTGTCACACATGACCATTGTGGCTAATGCGGTCCCTTGTTGCAGTTCAACCATCACCAACATTAGAAGCCCTCTTTCTGCAGTCTCCGTCCCCAGTCCCTATTCCTATCCCTTTCACATTAGCCAGACAGGATGAATGTGTCCGAGGCTGGACCATGATGATGCCTCAGTGCTTCACCGGGTATAAATTTTGAATTAATTGGTGGCTGGTGAACATTTTTGCCTGCAATTTATGCTTTCCTGCCAGCCATCATTCTTCCTTCCGTCAAGCCCTGATTTTGGGGCAATTATTAACTGGTGAAATTTCAGTTGAAGCCATTTGTTTACCGTAATCCCTATAGCACTGTTTTCCAGTTAGCTCCTGTCGCTGTCAGTCCACAGCTTAATTAAAGTGCTCAACTGTCGAAGACTTTGACTGGGACTTCATTGACTTGTCCTTAACTTAACTCTCTCCCCCTCTGTCTCATCAAACGTCTTTAGAACGTCTTGTACCCTCTTTAAGCTGGAGAAGCTGTTTTGGAACTTAATTTGACTATCTTTTGTGATCGAAACAAGCGTTTGACCAATTTAATTCTGCATTAATTTCACTGACCCACTTAGACAGGCGCATTCTTATTCAATTTTTTTATCTCTTGAGTAGTTTTATATTATTTTTCCTCAGTCCTTCGTCCGTATCCTTCGGTGATTAATGGCTTGTGAAGAAAAAGTGAAAGGTGTGCAAAAGTTATAGAAGGGAAAAGAGCAGCAGGGAAATTAATTTCCACGAGTCCTGCATGATTGAGTTCTATTGAGGGAAATGCACTGGTAAGCTGATTTCTGTGTTCGTTGTTGAGAGTGGCAGGGGTAGTTCATTGAAGCTTAATCACGATGCTCAAAGAAATGGAAAAGAGTGTAATACCCCATCGGAACTACAGTCCAACTAGGATCAAATAAACTCTTAAATATTCTGCATAAAAACTAATATTTATCCAACTCCTAAATGCACTTGAGATCCCATTAAATTCACATATGTAAGTGCAATAACCATTTCTCGCATTTTCATGGAAAAGAGTTTTATGCAAAAGTTAATAATTGTTAAATTTCAATTTCGGCCATAGTTTCACAACATTTCTGAATGTAAAATTCATACGTAAAACTTTGGTTCTCCTCTCCGGCCAACTGCAAGTGAGAGCTCTCTACAGCAAACCAGATACATAATTGTGGGAAATACTTTGTTGGAAACCCTTTCTCCGGCCTCTACCCCTGCGTCTAACCCCATACCAGGGCCCCTACTGTAATGAACTCTGGTACATTTTTGTGTTATTGACAAACGATTTTGGAGTTTTCCTTTTAATTGTTTTCATTTTGTGGAAAAATAATCAAGTGCGGGCCTCTACCCACAAAATGCGAGTAAACAAAGGATTGTACATTTCTATAGATACAAAAATCGTTTTAATTTGCCAATGATTGTGTCTGCCAATGGACTGTTCAATTGTTTAACTGCATAGACAATAAAAATGGTTGCGTGAGATTGTATGCGAGTGCACATGAGAGGGTGTGAGACTATATTAAAAAGTGAATGTGTCTTGTGCATATACTGCAGCCATTGTTTTACAAGCCTTCTGTGGGGGTTGGGGGAGTGGCTGGGATTGGGACTGGGCTGGGGCGCCAAAGCCGAAACTGTCAGTGACAGCACAACGTAAGTAATTTCGCGCATATGTTACGATGGGAAGGGAGCGACGGGGACTAACGGAGGGAGTGTGCCCCGACCAGGCACCATCATCTGGCACCCCCTTTAAAGCCGGAGTTCGGCATATTCATGGCTGCTGCACACGACAAATTGAATTTTATGCAAAAGCTTCCGCTTTTCCTCCAATGCACTCCCCACTTCTAATGCACACTGTCTTGCCACCCATCAGCCCCAGTTTTTCCCGCTGTTCCTGCCAGTCGCGGCGACATCTATGGCCTGTTCGTCTGCATTATAATTTGGCCCTTTGTTTTCTTACCAGCATTCCCCACTGCGCTTCTGTGCGCTTTTCCGCGACATTTTTGCTCTGGGTTATCCTTGTGTTTTGCACTTTGCCATTGCATATCCGGCCAAGACGCGTTCTCAATGCGGTTTTCTCTGTTGGCCCACTTTCCTTCGTATTCCTTTCAAGCGCTTTCCTTTTTTTGGCTCGGGTCTCCTTTTTTGTCCAACATTGTGTGAAGGAGTGCCCTTTAGTTCGACGTTAATGAGAAATTATGTTATCGCACTGTTAAGCTGTTCGTAATCGTCTCATTACCATCCTAACCTCTCTCCATTTTCGGGTTTTAATTGATGTCATTTGAATGATAATAAACGTTCGGATAGCAGGTCTAATTCTATTCGTATTTCTATGATTTAATGCAATTTCAAATCAAAATTCCAAAGGCGCAATTTGCATAACTGAATGCTGTGTGCATAAAGCATTTTTATTAACAATAGAACAATTTAGGCTTGTAATTGCGTTTGTTCTGCTAACAGGGCTAACAAAGTTAACACTAAATGTTGGCTGACAGTTGTGCTCTCTGAGTAACAGACTCTCTCTCTCTCTCTCTCTCTTTCTCTGTTACCGCCAAACGGGAAGCTGCTAGTGATGCAAAATCAAATGTTGCGTATACGCGACGAAGTCAAAACGAAGCAGGCTCGGCTCACGATTCGCTGGACCATGTTAAGGTTTCGCCAGTTGGCTTAGTTTCCTTTTAGCCGGTGCCAAGCGAGGTGCGTTCCTCGCTACGTAACATTAACAAAACGGTTAAACAATTCAAAGATAGAAAATTTAATGGTTAACAAACAAACATAAATGGCAATGAGAATGGTTCATGTTGGTTGATATGAAATTATAATTGTTACTTTATCAAATTGACTCTTTGTTAATAATAATACACTTGTGAATTTAAAAATCAAAAAGAACGATATAAAAAAGTTTTAAAAAAATGTGTTAAAAACATGTTTTATCGCTAAAAAGTGAGAGTAAAAAAAAAACAAAATATTATATATGATGTGAACAGAAATTACAAAAAGTAAACTCCACTGAGATCAACAACAATATTGATCAACAATACTTATAATGTTTATATATTTACTAAATTTAAAGAGCAAATCAGCGAAACAACTATGAAAATATTTCAATAGGCATTACTGCACTAATGCATTTGTCAACAACATTTTAATTAATTATTATTTATGCCAAATAAATTCTGATCATAATTTTGCATGAACTTGATGTCCAATGAAATGTCCTTCAATGAAATGCTCAAAAGCTTCC